TCCCTTAGGGTAGGGGAGTTCAAAACTAGATTTTTAAGATTTAATGGGGACCTGAGGGGCAACTTTCTCACAGGGTGGTTTGTATGTGGAATGAACTGTCAGAGGAAGTGGTAGATGCAGGCACAGTTACAACATTTAAAGACATTTGTTTGCTCAGGTATGTGAATAAGAAAGGTTTAGAGGAATATGGGCCAATTGCAGACAAATAGGCCTAGTTCAGTTTGGGAAACTTGGTCGGCATGGATATGTTGGACCAAAGGGCCTGTTTCCATGCTGTATGACTCATATGTTACTCAGTCATTAAGCTCATACGCAGAGCCAGTGCTGACATGTTGGGCTCAATAGCCGCCTGCCGCATAACAATTATGTCATAATTTTGTGACTTAACCATCAGTGTTTGGTTCTGCTGATGTTAGTAAACGCCATTCCTAGTCAGCTGCAAAGCACAGTTCAGGAGTGTAATGGAATACTGCCAAGCTGCCTAGACGATTGCAGCTCAAAAACACTCACCACAACATGGTCTGCGTTACTGACAAAGTTCCCAGTAGCTTCAATATCCACTTCCTTCTCCACTGAAGTGCAGTGTGCACTATCTACAAGCTGCACTACAGTAACTCATCAAGGCTCTTTCAACAGCACCTTCCAAACACATAATTTCTACCGAGAAGGAAGGGTGATAGAATTATCAGAATACTGCAACTTAGAATTCCCTTCCAATCCATGCACCATCCTGAGTTGGAAAGTCATTGCCACTACTGTGGCTTGATCAAAATCCTGGAACTCCCCTCTATACAGTACTGCAGGTGTCCCTACATCACATTGACTGCAGCACTTCAGAAGCTAGCTCACAACCACCTCCAGTTCAAGATGGGCAATAAATCTATGTGGTGAATACCAAATCCCATGAATGAATAGAAAATGTTAGATTTCTGGTATGTGGAGAGAGACGCTCCGACAGTTACCCTTTGGGCAGAGAAGGTTAAGCAGTGATTTAGTCGAGGTGCAGATTTGTTTCTAGGAGTTTTTATCTGAAGTGAGAGAATTATTTACATTGACAAAATGTTTAGTAACTGCAGAATGCAGCTTTCAGATAATTGGAAAATAATGCAAGGTGAAGATATGGAGATTATTTGACTCAAGTCCTGAGGATCTGGAACAGATTAAATGGTAGATAGAAACAGATTCTGCAGTCGTTTTCAAAAGTGATTTGGAATTTAATGTAATGAGTAAAGAATTAGTGGGCACAAGGCAGTGAAGTTGGAACAGTATTGCAGAATTTTTCAAGAGAGTATGGCCCCAATGAGGGTGAATGGCCACCAGCCCCTGTGCTGTGTGATACTGCACCATTCACTGTCAATGATGAAGCTCATCCCAGGGCAGCAGTGAGGGAAGCTCTCGAATTGAGGGAAGGGTCACAGATGGAGCTTTTTAAAAGCCACATTTCCATAATATAGTACAGGCAGACCATGGGTTGCAAATTCTGCAGACTATTTGCAAGTTGACTTGTTCACAAGTCAGAACACGACGCAGGACAATATAAAGGAGCCATTTGTTAAGACAGAAAATGTTTGTATGTTGAATCTTTAAAATTACACCCTTGTGTGATTGCATTTGTATGTGCCCGTTTTCATAAGTCGTAAATCAGGGAATCCCTGTCTTCCAACCGGTTAATTGGATTGGCAACGTCAGTAAAAACAGAGATTATTATCAGATTATAAATCTGGTATGTGATTAACAGCAGCAATAACAGTAGAATCTAACACCCACAGTTACTCCATGATCTTCTTGGTGCTGTCACTGAATGAATCCCTCCCATACACAGTGCAGGTGAGTGGCCTCTCCCCTGTGAGAGTGTGTTTATGTAAATGCCGGCTGTCAGACTGAGGGAATCTCTGCCCCCACACATGGAGCAGGTGAATGACCTCTTCCCCAGTGTGAATTTTCTGGTGTGCATTCAAGTTGGATGACTACTTAAACCTCTTTCCACAGTCAGTGCATTTGAATGGGCTTTCTTCAGTGTGAACACGCTGGTGTAAAATGAGTCAGGATCATTTAGTAAATCCCTTCCCATGTACGAAGCAGATGAATGATCTGTCCACAGTGACTGTGTTGCTGAATTTTAAGCTGGGATGGATACTAGAATCCTTTACCTCTGTCCTCACGTTTCAACAATTTTTGCAGAACACCATATGTGACTGCGCCAATGGATTTTGAGCAGTGATAGATAATTAAAGACTTTACCACAGGCCTCACATCTTCATGGTTTTGCCATTGTGTCAGTGACCTCATGCCCCTCCAGTTTGCATAATCTGTTGAAGCCTTATCCACAAGTGTACGGTGTCCCTCCACTGTGAATGAGATGATTTTTTTCAGGTTGTGTGACTGGATACAGTTATTTCCACAGATATTTTTCTAGAATACTCTTGATTGAGACTCAGACACACAACCAATGATGTTTAAAGTCTTTTCCCACTGGCAGAACAAACAGCTCTTCAGGTTCTGATGAAGCAAGTGACTGTTAGGTCTTAACCAGACATTTGATTTAAGTTTCCTCTTCCCAACATCTTCATTGAATCCAAACATTTACAAAAGTCATCTTTGTCGGTCCAGGATACAAATTCAGAATAACGTCCAGTCTCTATGGAGGATTTATTCCCCTCTTGTGTCCCTAAAGATGTGGAGCTCAGTCCCACACACCTCCCTTTTCCCTTCTTCTGGAACACCACAGACTTCCGTGCTAAAGTTGGAGTAGGTGAATGGCCTGGCCCCAGTATGACTGCACCAGTGAGTTTCTAATTCAGGAGGAGCCTGAATCTCTTCCCACCATCCCTTCATTTCCATGGTTTCTCCCTTTTGTCACATCTTTGTGCCTTGACAGACCTATTTCTCCCCACTGTGAATGGTGCTTTTTCCTTCCATGGTCACAACCCGATGATATTTCAAATTGTGATAACTTGCTTGAGTCTGTTAAACCCTGCTGTGGTGTTTGATTAGAGTTTTCCAAATGCAAATCTACTTCATGCCTTGTGAAATTGACTGAAAGCAGAAGAAAGGGAGTCAGAGCAAACCCAAGGAACCACAAAGGCAGGTTAAGAAACTGAGCTGAATGAACCTGGTAATTTTTGAGGTCAGCACGAGAAAAAAGGACAGTGAAAGATTGTCACAAAAATCCAACTGATTGACTAATATCCTTAGGGGAAGGGAACCTGCCATCCAGTCCAGGCAGTCACAAGATTCTGGGCTACATGCAAAGTAAGGGGGAAGACAGATGTGACAGCCTGATTTTACAAACCTACAACACAAGCAGATCTTGACAAAATTTCAATGAAGAATGCTGCTTCATAGAACATTCCATTGGTTTATGGAATTTTTATTATATGCAAGGTGCTGTAGCTGTGTTTTCCCTGTACTTTCGAATGCTCTTTTACGGAGACAGGGAGGTTTGTGAGGCTGGAGGAGATTGTAGAGCGAGGAATGATTGTAAGGGCTGGAGGGCATTTTAGAGATGGTGAAAGTTCTGAGACTGGAGAAGATTGCAGAGATAAGGAGAATTGAGAGGCTGTAGGAGATTACAGAGAAAGGGAGCTTTGTCGGGGCTGAAGAAGTTTAGGGATAGGGACATTTGTGAGGCAGGAGGAGATTACAGAGATCGGGAGGGCTGGAGGGGATTATAGAGACTGAGCATTCTGAGGCTGGAGGAGATTGCAGAGATAAGGAGGATTGTGAGTTTGGAGGAAATTATAGAGACAGGGAGGATTTTAAGGCTGAAGAGGATTACAGAGAAAGATGGAGGAATGTAACACTTTAGGAGATTACAGAGATAGGGAGGGTTGTGAGACTGCAGGACATTATTTTCTAAACAACAGTATGGTGTGCTTACAGCACATGGATTGCAGCAGTTCAAGAAGAAAGTTCACCATCACTTTCTCCAGGTCAAATAAAGATGGACAAAAGATACTGGTCTGGGCAGCAAAGACCACACCCTATGAATGAATTAAAATTAAGATAGGTTTCTGTTTTGTGGAGAAGTAGAAGAAGCTCCGATAATTCCCCTTGGAGCTGAGAACATTAAGCAGTGAATTAGTCGAGGTGTGGATTTGTTTTCAGGATATTTCATTTGCAGAGATCGAATTATTAACATTGTCACAATGTTTAGTAACCTCAGAACACAGCCTTCACATAATTGGCAAATAATGCAAGATGAAAATGTGAAAATTATTTTACTCGGCAAGTTCCAAGGATATGGAAAAGTCTGAACAGCAGCTGGATGTGGATTCAGCAGTTATTGTCCAAAAGAGATTTGGAATTTAACTTTTTAAGGAAAGAATTGGAGGACTGTGAGCAAACAGCAGGGGTGTTAGAATAGATTCGCAGTGTTTCTGGAGTGTGAGAATACAGTCACATTGGGCTGTTTGGCCACCAGCCCCTGTGGTCTGTGAAACTGCACCATTCACTGGGAATGATGAAGCTCACCCAAGGTTGGAGAGAGGGAGGATCCCAGCACTTGCCTCAAAATGGGGCCCAGCTGATTGACGGCTGCTGATGGACCAATTACAGGAGAGTGGGCAGGGCTGACAGCCCATGCGGATGTGGCTAGTCCTCCATCCAATGGAAGTGAATGTAGGGGTGGGGCAAGAAAGCCTCAATGCCGTTGTAACTGGCACCTGAGTGAATGCGGGAGGTGGTGACGGGGAAGCGAGAGAATCGGCGGACACCGGGTAGAAAATGGAGTCAGTCTGGACTGGGAGATTTTATGAGCATCCAGTGTAGGCTTCTCGATCTGAAGATGGCTGCGGGCCTCAGGCAGTGATAGGCCCCGGATAACCGCTGCCGCCTTTATTGGGGGCGAGGTGCAGCAGTGCCCATGCATATAGTTTTTGGAGTTGTGGAGTGATTTGAAGAGGAGTATTTATATAGAAAACTGAAACCAAGAGAAATGTTTGTCTTTTTCTAGATTTCTATCCTGGACTGCCAGTGATTTTTGTGAATTCATTTTACAGGGTATTAATTGAGAAAATTTTGCAGACCAGGATTTCAAAACAAGTTCTGACAGTCAGCAGAGGCATCAGGATCTGAATATCATGGGAACTTAACTGTGGAAGGAAAAAGGTTTGTCTGTTCTGTCTGTGGGAAAATAATTCCAATCTGTTTTTAAATCGAAAAGGAGCATCATGTTCAAACTCGTGGTCAGATCACCCTGGGGTATGTGTTCAGTTCTGGGTCCTGCAGCTGAGAAGGAGATACTGGCCTGAGAGAGGCACAGATTTCTCCAAATAACAACTCAGCTCTTTGAAAGAACTGTTTCAATCACCCATTTCATGATTTTAACCTTTATATTCTTCATTCTCAAATACCTGTAAACTTCCCTTTAAAATTCCTATGGACTCAAATTCCAGTACCCTTTCAGGTGAAATTCCAGATCCTGACAATTATTAATCCTTAACGTGCTGAAGTCCACTTAGAGTCTAGAGAGTTATAAAGTGCTGAATTGAAAGGTGAGCTGAATTGTAACAGCGCAAGAGGCTGAGGTCAGACAGTTGAAATGACAAGGCTGCACTGTGAGTGCTGTTTGGCTCAATGAGAGTGCTTTGGAATTGAGTGCATTGAATCAAAAAATTAGATGAGACATGGAGAGGCAAAGCTGAAAGTTTGAATGTGGTGCTCAGACTCAGTTCAGGCAGTTCAGAAAGTGACATGGTCCCAATGGAAACAGCCAATTAGTAAGTGAGACCTGCAGGGAATTTTCTGACAGTTTTAAAAATATAACATTCAGCTTAAGTACACGTGGGAGCTTTGGATTATGATAGAAGTGTTTGAAATGAAAGAAGATCCCTGACTCAATATCTTAAAGGGTGTAACTGGCTTAATGTAGGGAGAAGTCATGACAGGAGACCTTGGACCCATGCTATGCTACTCTTGCACAGTGTGGAAAATAAGGGATGCTTCCAGTGTCCCTGACGGCTTCACATGCAGGAGGTGTGTCCATCTGTAGCTACTGACGAACCACTTTTTTGAGCTGGAGTTTTGGGTGACTAATTATGGAGCATGATGCGTGATTCTGTAAATATCATGGACAGCAATTTTAAAATAAAATAGAATCCCTCCAGTGTGGAAACCGGCCCTTCAGCCCAACAAGTCCACATTGATCCTCCAAAGAGCACCCCACCCAGACTCAGCCGCTGACACTATCCCTGTAACGCTGTATTTCCCATGGCTAACTCACCCAACCTTCAAATCCCCGAACACTATGGATAATTTAGCACAGCCAATCCACCTAACCTGCATATCTTTGTACTGAGAGAAGAAATTGGAGCCCTCCTTGGAAGCTCACGCAGAAACGGGAAAGTGTGCAAACTCCACACAAACTCCTCGAGGATGGAATTGAACCAAGGTCCCTAGTGCTGTGAGGTAGCAGTGATAACCACTGAGCCGCAGTGGTCACAGCCTTTGTCAAAGTGGTCACACCGTAGGTGAGAATTACATGTAGTCTGCTGCATAAAAGGGGAGAAAAACAAATGGCAGAGCTATAGTGACATGGGATTCAAAAGAGTAAGGGCTACTGACAGACGTGACTACAGGATGGTACGTTGCCTCCCTGATGCCAGGATGAAGGACGTCATGGAGTGGCTGCAAGACATTCTGGAGCTGGAGGGTGAACAGCCAGTGATCGTGGTTCACAGAGGGACTGATTACATAGTTTAACATAGGGATATGTATCTGAAAGCTGAATATAGGAAGAGAGGAGATAGATTAAAATGCAGAACCAAATGTAATAATGTCAGGCATACTCCCAGTGCCACATGCTAGCAAGAGCAGGAGTAAGAGAATAGATTAAATGAATGTGTGACTGGAGAAATTGTATTCCAGACAAGAGTTTACATTCTTTAGGCATTGGGTAAGGTGGGACCTGTACAAGCCTGACCGGTTGCCCCTGGTCAGAGCTGGGATAAATCTCCTTGTGGGCTGTTTTTGCTAGTTCATTGGGTGAGGTTTTCAACTAGAATGGCAACCGAAGAGTAGGCTTACATAGGTCAGATTCAGATCAGGAAATATGAGGTAGAATATTAGTTAGTTATCTAGTCCATGATTCAGAAAGACAAAGAAAGGAGAATTAAATGAGGATCAAGTGGGTCTTCATACATCAGTCCTGACATCCCAAAAACCAGTCTGATGAACATTCTTTACCCTCTCTTAATGGCCAGAGCATCCTTCCTTGGGAAAAGAGAGCAAAGGTGCATACAGTAATCACTAAAGCCCTGACCGAAAGATATCCCTGCTTCTGTGCTTGATTCCTCTCACCATGAAGGTCAACGTATCATTTGCATTCTTCACTGCTTGCCACTCCTGCCTGCTTTATTAAAAGACAGAGTGACAGAGAAACACAGAACAAACTGGGATCAGAGCCTCAGATGTAAAACCAAAATGCAACGTCCCCATCATATCTATGCTGGTCATCAAGCATCTATTTATTGTAGTCCAGTTTCTGGCACTCGGCATGTAACCTATGTTGTCGTGGCTTTTATGATCATCAAACATTTCTTCAAAGTTGCAATGGTTCCTGCATCTGTTGCCACTTCAGCTGCCTCCAGGCCTGCTGGATGTCTCTGACGTTGTCTGATTTTATTTCAGGTTTCCACCATTTTGCTTAAGCATTGAGAGTCAGAAGCATGGAAACAGACCCATCAGTCCAATTCATCCATGCCGACAATGTATCCTAAACTGATCTACTCCCATTTGCCAGCATTTGGCTCATATCCCTCTAAACATTTCCTATTCACATGCCTTTTAAATGTAATTGTACCTGCCTCCCTACCTCCTCTGGTAGCCCATTTCATAAATGCACCATCCTCTGTGTGAAAAGATTGCCCCTCAGGACCCTTTTAAATCTTTCTGTTCTCATCTTAAAACTATGCCCTCTAGTTTTGAACTCCCATACCCTGGAAAAAGACCTTGGCCCTTCATTCTATTGATGTCTCTCATGATTTTATAAACTTCTATAAGATCACCCCACAGCCTCTGATGCTCTGCAGAAAATAGCCCCAGTCGATTCAGCCTCTCCTACAGGTCAACTCCACAATCCCAGTACAACTTTGTAAATCTTTTCTGAACCCTTTCAAGTTCAATAACATCTTTGCTACAGCAGTATTCCAATATTGGCCGAACCAATATTCTATACAGCCACAACATGACCTCCCAGCTCATATACTCAATCAAATAAATGTAAGCATACCGAATGCCTTCTTCACCACCCTGTCTACCTGCAACTCTACTTTGAATGAGCCCTGCGCTGTTCCTGGCTATTCAGAGGGTATGAAGGTACGGGGAGAAAACGGGAACTGGATTGAGTTGTAGATCTATAAATGCCTCTCCCACCTCTTTCTGTAGTTTTGTGCAAACACCAACTGGTTCCCTTCCCTGAAGGAGATTTATGAACCAGTTCAGTTTTAATGATAAATCCAGCAGTTTCCCTCTGTGTCATCTCCAGAAGTGACCAGATTAATTGCTGTCAGTTCCACAACCTGTGTGTTCTAATCGTTTCTCCTAATGCGTGCTTTCTGTTTGAAAGGTTGGTTTGCAATTAGAGACTTCAGACGAAAGCACATCCAAATCCTGCGGTCGCTCTGTTTGTCATAACCTAATTATCAAAAGGATTTTGAACATTGAAGGATAAAGCACCATTCACCCCGGAGAGAAACACGTATCGTCTGTTTGTGGAAGAGTCTGTGAAGATTCATGTGCAATGTCCAAACGCCAACGCAGTCACACTGGAGAGAGACTGTGGAAATGTGGGGATTGTGGGAAGGGATTTCATTACCCATCCCAGCTGGAAAATCACCAACGCAGTCACACTGGGGAGAAGCCATTCACCTGCTCTGATTGTGGGATAGCATTTGCTCTGTCATCCAGCCTGCGGATTCACCAGCGGGTTCACACTGGGGAGAGACCATTTACCTGCTCTGTGTGTGGGAAAGGATTCATTCGCTCATCTCAACTGCTGGAACATCAGCAAGTTCACACTGGGGAGAAACCATTCACCTGCTCCCAGTGTGGGAAGGGATTCACTCAGTCATCCAACCTGCGGAGACATCAGCGAGTTCACACTGCGGAGAAACCATTTACCTGCTCTGATTGTGGGAAGCGATTTAACCAATCATCCCACCTGCGGAGACACCAGCAAGTTCACACTGGAGAGAGACCATTCACCTGTTCTGAATGTGGAAAAGGATTCATTCGCTCATCTCAACTACTAGAGCACCAGCGAGTTCACACTGGGGAGAAACCATTCACCTGCTCTGATTGTGGGAAGGGATTTACTCAATCGTTCAACCTCCTGAGACACCAGCGAGCTCATACTGAGAGACGTTCACTCAGTTAACTCATCTGCTGATACACCAACCTGTTCACTCTCTGATGTAAATTCAAACTGTTAGCACACCAGTGTAATGACACTGGGTGGATCCCATTCACCTGCTGTGTTTGTGTAAAAAGCTTGGCTGTTTGCTAATACACTAGCAAATTCACAAGAACCACAGGTGAAGGATTTTGCTTTTATTCACAACAAGGAATGAACCTTGGTCATTAGGCCATTTGATGTTATTAAACCCTGCTGTATTAAAGGGGCTGATGTTGCAGACAAAATGTTGACACAATTGTGTATCTGTAGGATAAGTTTTGAAAATGATCACAATGTCACTGTATGTCAACACATTTACACGAGGTAAAGACTGTCCAGCTGCATATTGATTTTGTGATTTATCAGGCTTGGTTAAACTGCATTGAGTTTCCTAGCGAGTGTCAGTGTTGCATTTTGATGCTGTTATTATCTATGTTCGAAACCATGCTTTCTGAATCTATTTCTGATGACGTTTGTAAACATCACAGGTTCAGTTACCTACTGGAGATAAAAATAATACAAGCTGGCTTTTTGTTAAAACTAAGTTGTCTCAAGTCTTTTTCTAATTCTGAGTACCTTAGAGATAAGATAATCAGGACCCTTCACATGAGCAGTTGGGAAAAGGTACATCCAGAGTGAGATATAGCCTGTAATACTGGAAATTCAGTTTCATGTGCTGTTGGGGCTCATGTCATCTGACTGGACAAGGAAATGGGGTCCACAGAGAATGTCCAAAAGGCTAAGAAGAAAAGAGAAGAAACCAGTAAATCAGGAAGGCATTGACATTACAGGCCAGTTAAGGTACAAGGGAATTTGACATAGTTGAATGGCATTGATTTTCAAGGAAGACAGCAACGGAGGCAAAAGAGTAGCAGGTGTTACAGTTATGCTCAAGGAATTTATTACAACAAGACAGAGGGCTGACATTTTAGAAAACTCCTTCAATGAACCCATTTGGTTAGAACAAGTCGAGCTGGTGAGGATGCAAATTTCAGGGAAGTATAAAAGTAATAGGGGCCTGATAGCGGGGGATTTCAACTTCCTCAACATTAATTGTGGTCATCATAGTGTGAAAGGTTTAGAGGAATGTTTAAAATAGGTCCAATATGGCTTTTCAAGCCAGTATGTAGAAGTCCCAACAAGGAAGGAGGAGATCCTAGACTGAAAGTTAGGTAAGAAAGGCGGACAAGTGATCGAAGTATCAGTGGGAGAATTTTGCAGACAGTTATGATTCTTTTTAAAAGATTCAGGATTGCTGCAGAAAACAATAAGGATCAGCTTCCAATCCAAGGTCTAAATTGGTTGATTTTAATAAGACCAGATATGATTTGGTCAGAGGGTGCAAGGAGCAGATACTTCAGATAATTGTGCAAGAGGGAATTTAAATGGAGAGATAAGGACAGCTGACGGGAACATGAATTGATACAGCCAAGAAAAATAAAGGAAGATGCTCAGTTGTTTTACAGGTACATTAATGGGGAAATAGTGAGGCCCATTAAGTACCACGTTGTAGTCTGTGTGTGAGATTAGAGGATATAGGCCTGGTTATAAATGAATGCTTTGTGTCAGTGTTCACGAGTGAGGAAGACGAATCAGGGAGAGGTCTGTGATAGAATGTAAAGGATTTGGCACAGAAAGAGAGAGGAGATTTTAAGTCATCTTGCAGGCTTAAATGTAGGTAAACCTCCAGAGTCAGGTGAAACATATCCTATCGTGTTGGGATGATAAATTGTTGGTACATAATAGCAGGGGTGCTTACAAAAATTTTCAATTCCCCTCTGACCAAAGGAAAGGTACTAGAGGACTGAAGAACAGTCAAAGTGGAACGTTTATTCAAGAAGAGAGCAAGGGATAAACCGAGAAACTGAAAACCAGTCAGTCTCAGTTTGCTGGTGGGGAGAATCTCGCAAGTATTTCTGAGGGGCAGAAATAATTTGCATTTGAAGAGTGAAATTAATCAAGAAAAGGCAGAGACCACAAAAAGGAAGAGAGACAAAGGCAGAGACCACATGGGAAGTGATTCAAATGAGTAAGAAACCGACATTGTTGTCTGACCCAGCAGTGAATCTGCACAGCAGCTGCCTCAGCTGTTTGAGTTCAAGTATCTCTGGACATCGGAGTTTGTCTAAGAAAAATTAACAAACAGCAAAATTCACACCTGTTTCATGCAGAGGGTGGTGTCTGTATGGAATGAGCTGCCAGAAGAAGTGGTGGAGGCTGGTACAAATACAACCTTTAAAAGGCAGCTGGATGGGTATATGAATAGGAAGGGTTTAGAGGGATATGAGCCAAATGCTCGCAAATGTAGGTTATTTAATGTTTTAACGAAGATCTGTATCTTCGGTTGCGGTTGGAGTTGTTTGTTGGTTTGCCAAGCTGACTGGTTTTCGTGTAAATGTTTCAACTCCCTTCTAGGTGACATCATCCATGCTGTTAACCTCTGTTAAAATGCTGTTGTTCTGTCCTGCTCTGAATTTATATGGTCCGATCTGTCATGGTGGGCAGTCTTGTTTCCGGTTTTGTACCGTAGTGGTATGTAGATGGGGTCTATATCAACATGTTTGTTAATTACATCAGTGGTTGAAAACCAGGCCTCCAGGAATTCTGAGTTCTTCCTCAGTTCTGAGGAAGGGTCACCGGATCCAAAATGTTAACTCTGTTTTTTCCTTCACAGATGCTGCCAGACCTGCTGAGCCTCTCCAGCAATTTTGTTTGTGTTCCTGATTTACAGCATCCGCAGTTCTTTCGGTTTTTCTCCAGGAATTCTTGTGCTTGTCTTTGTCTTGCTTGTTTCTTGCAGTTGCTGCATGGTATTTTATATTATCACATTTGTCCTGCTCAATTGCAAGAAACACAACACAGGACAGACAAGTAGGAAACTCACCACCAGGATACATGAACACCAACTTGCAGCAAAATGGCACAACCAATTCTCCCTCATTTCAATACACTCCAACGTAGAAGGACATCAATTTGACTTTGACAAAGATACAGTACTGGGACAACCAAGACAAAGACAAGCACAAGAATTCCTGGAGGCATGGTTTTCAACCATCGATACAATTAACAAACATGTTGAAATAAACCCCATCTACATAACACGACAGTACAAAACCAGAAACAAGACAGCCTGGACCATGTAAATTCAGAGCAGGACGGAACGACAGCGCTGCAGCAGAGGCTGTACAGCACTGACTAGGTCACCTAGAAGGGAGATAAAATGTTTGCATGAAAACGAGTCAGCTCGGCAAACCAACCAGCGACTCCAATGTCGATTAATTTAGGATATCTGGTTGGCATGGATGAGTTGGACCGAAAGGTATGTTTCCGTGCTGTACAGCTCTGTGAACAGTCCACATGAATTTTTTAAGGGGAGTTCCCATCTGATCAACTTGATTCAATTTTTTGATGAGGGTGCCCAGGTGTGTCAATGAGGGCAGTACTTTTGATTGAGACTCCTCGGATGCCATCAAGGCTTTTGATAAGGTCTTGCATGGGAGACTGATAGCAAAGGTAAGAGCCATGGGATCCATTGACATTTGGCAAATTGGATCCACAGCTGGCTGAGTGACAGAAAGCAGAGGGTAATGGTTGAGGGATATTTTTTCCGACTGGATGTCAGTGGAGTCCCACAGTGGTCAGTGTTGGGCCATTGTTGATTATGCTTTACATAAATAATTTGGATATGCCTCAGTCCTGGATGATTATCAATAGTGATTTTGGCTGCAAGACAATTTCGCCTAAATTTTGCTCGCTCCACACTTATCCTGCAAGTTCCCAAACAGACAGCTTCTGATGCACGATGCTGCAAATTATGGAAAAAAAGTAAATAAAAATTTTGGCCTTAATTGCTCATCAAACAGTGCATTTTCTGCTGAGTTACCCTGGCCTCCCATAGCAAGTGATCAATTCTTATTTTACAAGTTGAGAAATGGCTCATGACTTTGTGGTTTCTGTCTGCAAATCCTTCCCTTCCAGCATCCTTTAAAAGGAGTTTTAAAAAGTTATCACTGACAGTGCAGGGTAATAATTCTAGTTTCTATGCAGCATTCTCTTTCAATCCCAAAAACTGGAAGTTAACATCCAACACACTCTCTCTTCCTTCTCACTTTGCTGTAACACATTCTCCTCATGGCAAAAAGTCATGCTAATCGACAGATCACTGCTCAGTGTTGCTGTCGAGGACACACAGGCCTTGAAATCTTCATGCTGGCTCTGACCCTAAATGTATGTGCAATCTAAGTGGATTATATATCTGTGTTATATACAGTGCATTGCTTCTAATTTACTGCCCCTTAAATCCTGACCATGTCTGGTAGAAATCCTACAATCGTGAACATGAGGAAAGACGCCAGCATTTTAGCCAGGCAAATATATGTGTGAAGCTGAGAGAGCAAACAATAGCAATACATTTAAGAGAGTCATACCTGAACCAACATTTCCAGAGTATGCTTCTTCCTTGGGTACACTTCCACTCCCTTCAGTTGCTGCAAGTAAGCAGTATTCTTCCATTGTCCAAGCTGAGAAAAGAAATGGAAAGGAGGAGATATTGCTTTACTGCCAGATGTTGCACAGCAGGGAAAGTTTCACTCTGAAGGTTTAAAGACAACATCTGCATTGTAAGGTCCACAAAGGAGGGGTGAGGCTTTCCTGAAACAGCGAATAGGTCTCACTGAGCTCGTCGGTGAAATGCCCAGTATGTAGAAGTCCCAACAAGGAAGGGGGAGGTCCTGGAATTAACTTTAGGTAACAAAGGTGGACAAGTGGTTGAAGTATCAGTGGAGGATCTTAAATGCTGAATTTGTCTTTTTCTTGGAATATCTTGGGTTTGTAATGTTAAAATTGCAGTTTAATTAGTTGCCAATGCTGTTTTTATATTCTCTCTTAATATTCTGTTCCGGCTGTCTTTTGCAAAATCCCATACTCATCTTCCCCCTACTTTTTTTTTTCTTTTGCCATTACCTCTTTTCATTTTGTTAATTCTGTTCTTCTTAATATTTTATAACTAACACTGCTGCACAGTCTGCATTCTTCAAAAATTTCTTACATAATGCATTGCACCTTAAATATTCGAAATGGCAGTGATTCCAATCCTGGTGGGCTGTGGAACAACTGGATAAGTATTAAGTCCTGAAAACTTTGTAAAAACTCTACTCCATCTACATCTTTATTTCCCTCGTTTGTTAGTTGATTTAGAGGTACGTTTAATTTTGAATGATTATTAATTTTTGTGTTGTGCTGTCATTGATTGTTCCATGTGATTTTCCCTGTATCTTAGTTGTGCAAATTCCTAACATGGCCATTTGCAAGATTCTTTTATTTTCTCATAATCTGTGTTTTCAATAACCAACAGTATTATGCTATCTCGTGAGCCCAGTTAACAGTATAACAGTCTCACAGAAATGAATATTCTCCTCCTGTTCTTGTATCTTTTAGATACATCCCACTATATCATCAGTATTTATTACAGACATTTCAGCCCTTTCCTGCCTTGACATTTTTGAAGTATTACAAGTGTATCATTTCATCCTCAATGATTTTTTA